AATGTTTGACTCATTGCCCCTTGTCCTGTCACTGCAGCTCCTAACAAAGAGTCCCTCTCTGGCTTCCTCGTAGCCCCTTCAGATACTGCATGGCTGCTATGAGGTCTCCACACAACCTTCTCTTCTCCAGCTGCTTCCTACCCCCATAAAATCATAGCATCATAGGATGGTCTGGGTTGGAGGGACCTTAAAAATCATCTTGGGTGAGAAACTCACCATGACCAGCAGTGTGCACTAGCAGCCCAGAAAGGCAATCGAATCCTGGGCTACATCTAAAGGAGTGTGGCAGCAGGTCAAAGGAGGTGATTCTCCCCTTCTGCTCTCATGAGACCCCACCTGGAATATTGCACACAGTTTTGGTGTCCTCAATGCAAGGAGGACATGGAACTGTTGGAGCAAATTCAGAAGAGACACACAAAGTTGATAAGAGGGTTGGACCATCTCCCCTATGAGGACAGGCTGAGGAAGTTGGGGCTGCTCAGCCTGGAGAAGAGAAGGTTGTATGGAGACCTCATAGCAACTTTCCAGTATCTGAAGGGGCTACAGGGAAGCCAGAGAGAGACTCTTGGTTAGGAGCTGCAGTGACAGGACAAGGGACAATGGGGACAAATTGAAAGAGGGGAAATTTAGGTTAGATGTTAGGAAAATTTTTTTTCCTGTGAGGGTGGTGAGACACTGGCACAGGTTGCCCAGGGAAGTAGTGAATGCCCCAACCCTGGCAGTGTTCACAGCCAGGTTGGATGAAGCCTTGAGCAACCTGATCCAGTGAGGAGGTGTCCCTGCCCATGGCAGGTGGGTCTGGGACGACATGATCTGTAAGGTCCATTCCAATCCCTAAAATTTTAAGATTCTGTGATCTAGTTCCAAATCTAGATCTTTCCTGTGATGTCATGTTTAGGAAGGTACTGAATCTTTGGAAAAACATATTTTAGAATATGGAATGTATTGTTATATTTCATAAATCATTTACCCATATTGATGCTCATTTTCCAAGGGTGAAAAAAAAAATTCCATTCCCAGCTAGGAAGAAAAGGCCCAGAAATTCAGGTGTGAAAGAGGTGTCTGATGTAGTGAGTGACTACATTTCCCTGGGTGTTCCCAGAGCTCTGTCTCTTGCCAAAATGTGGAATAACTCAGATTTGGGGTCTGTTCTAAAGGTCTGGGTCTTTGTCTTCTCTTCTTCCTGGTTTGGATTGGTTTTGGGGGCTTGAATTCAGGTATCTGAATATATCTTATATCATTATAAACTTACCTTGTAGGAGCAACTGGTCATGGTGGAGCTGTCAGGAATTATTGATTCAGACTTCTTAGAAAAATGTGAAAACAAGTGCAAGATTTTGGTGAGTGATTACAGCACAATAGGAAAGGGGTAAGTCATTATGGATGTGAGCAAGGGGCTGAGGCTGCTTCTAAGTGACTTGAGTTTGATAACACTTAGACCAAGTCTTGGAGAAAATTCTGTGTGCTATGTTGGCTACATTTGGCTGCATGGGCTTTGTTCAGAGACCTCTGGCAAAGGATAACTGGGTATTAAACATCTGGCAAACAGTCTTGGAGGTTGTTTGCTTCACTGTGGGGTTATTGTAAGAATCTGGTTTAGCTGTCCTTTTCCTTTTGAGTTGTTAAATCATTTTCTCTGTACAGGATAGATTTTATTTGCCCTTCAAAACCTATGTGGACTATGAGAGCTGTATAGATAGTACAAGTACTATTGATTTGCAAGTACTTTCTGAAACTAGAGCTTTGTTACAGACTGAAAATGTGGAGCTGTGCCACTGATCAGAATAGATGTGGGGTGGTAAAGTCAGTTCTGAATGTCTCAAATGTAGAAAGACAATCAAAATTTATAAATTATCCATCTTTGGGTGGGTATACTTTTATAAGCAGATTTGCTCCCTGGATCTGACCTAATTCTCTCGAGATGTGTTACACACATGATTCATTACTGGTGGCTGAATGGCTTCAATGGTGTTAATGGGATTCTTTGAAATGTTGTTCTTTGAGATTCTCTTGTAATGTTACTAAAAAAAGCCTTAATTATTCATACTGTGTCCCACTTGTATTCAAATCTACTTGCATTCACTCCACAGAGTAAGCACTCCCTGAGATTTTTCATAATGCACAACTGCTGTTTAAACCCCGATAAAAGATTCTGTTATTGTTTTAGAAAGTTTTCTGTGATGCTGGTCATATGAGGGGAAGGTGATGTCCAGTTCTGCATAGTCTAAAAAGGAATGCAAATCAGCCAATGAAATAAAGTTTGGAATATTAAAAACCCTTAATGCTATTGCTTAGTACCAATGGGTTATTCTTTATTGATTTCTTATAGTAAAAATTAGAAATAAATAAACCTCAACAAAAATGTATTCTCATGTTACCTTAGTGCTCTTGATGTTCTCAATTTATGCAGAAGAGAATCCCAGAGCTTACATCTTCTTGGTCTTCTCTTCTTCAAAAGCACAAGAGGAAAATGGCACAAATTGGTATTAACCTGTGGGATATTCTGTATTTTATGCAATTTACCACATAGTGCCTCATCTTCACAGCTTTTGGCATGTGCTTGTCTTCATATCCTGAATATGCTGATGTTGACAAGGTACTATTAATGGCAATCTTGCCTTAATTAGTGTATATAGGTATATCTTCTGTTAAGAATAATGGGATGCTGGTCTGTGTGTCTGGAAAACCTGTGCTGGAGAGAAAGGGAACGAGCTGACAGAACTGCTGCCTTACCCTCCCACTCCCAGTTTGAAAAAATAAAACAACAATTTCCAACTCGTTCACAGTGCAGAGGCACAGTAATCACAGAGGCTTTAGTGACCCTGCAGTTGCACTTCAGGGGCTGATGTAATGCTTTGTGCTGGATTTCTTCACCTTGTGTATTTTCCAAAGTGATTCCACTTTATAGAACTTGCATTAATTGAAGCTTAGAAAATAACATCTTTTTCATGCAAATACATTTATTTTTGTTAATTTGAAATGGAGGTTACATTAATTTCCTAGAGGAAATAACACCACTTTTACTGTAGCTCGAACAGCCCATTGGCTGCAGGTTGATGTGAATTTATTTTTACTACTGCTTCTCCTTCTTCTCCTTCTTCTCCTTCCTTCTTCTCCTTCTTCTCCTTCTTCTCCTTCTTCTCCTTCTTCTCCTTCTTCTCCTTCTTCTCCTTCTTCTCCTTCTTCTCTTCCTTCTCCTTCTTCTCCTTCTTCTTCTGCTTCTTCTTGTGTTTATTTACTTATTACTATTACCATTTTCTATACCAGTTCTATTTTAGGTTTTATTGTGATTACTGCAAGAGTATCACAATAAAATGGTATATTTTTATATTAATATGACATATTTTTGTATTTATTTAAAATAACATGTATGATTATAGTCTGGAAAAAAAACCTTTTTTAATAGTATACTGATTCTGCAATGAGATGAGCTGAACCCTCTGTAGCAGTTTTTCTCACTAAGCCTCCTACAAAAACAGGGGGAAAACTCCTTCTCCCTATCCCAGATGTTTAGTATTGCAGAGGACCTCAGGGTTAATTGTAATGATTAAAGGTACTTTTATTGTATTTTTAAAAATTAATAAATACTCATTTCATTGCATATCTTGCCACTCTTTCAGGAGTCTGCTAGCTTCTGTAGCATCATACCCTGTGCAGAAATCTCTTATCCCCTTCCACAAATCCTGTTTCAAAGATGTGCTTCTCCATACAAATCTGATGGTTTGAGACAGCTTTATGGCCTGGAATAAATTCCTTTTCTCTAGTAACAAAAGGAATTTTTTATTTTGCATTGACTTATTTTAGTGTTATTACCTTATGGCTTGGTTTGGGTTTTTTACCAAATATTTATCTTTTCAAGGAATTGATGTAATTTGCATTGTGCTATGTCTGCCTTCTCTGGTCTTACAGTGAGATATTGGCCTGACATCTGTGCAATTTTGTCCTTCTTTTTGCAGGGAATTGAGACAGAGAGGCCCATTTTACAAGTGGACAGATATGTATTTGCAGGAGAATATGAAGGTAGGAAAAATTATGTGAATACAGTCTCACCTTTTTCGTGTGACCCAAAGAACTTTCTTAACGTTAGTTAATTGTGCTGCAGTTGGTCCTGTGAGGTGCAGAAGTTCTGGGTGGTTGCATAACACCATGAAGAGCCACAGCAATCTGAGTTCACTGCTAAATTAACGATGCTTCCACGGTAATTAAGGAAAAGTATGCCTGGAAGCTGACTCTGGGGTGCACCAGCTATTAGTTCTGCAGACCATAATGTGGGGAAAAAATACCCTAAAGTATGTGCTTGTTGCCTCCTGTGTAAGCAGGACTGGCCTGTACAATCTGTAGTTCTCTCATTTGCCTTCAGTGACAACACTGGTCTGGAAGAACATGGTCTGGGATCCTCCCGTGGAGTTACTTCCAGTGACTGTGATAGTCCTGTCTGTTCCTGAGTTGGCAGTGTGTGCTTACCAGTGCTGGGCCTGCATGAGGGGTTGAAAGTCAGAACATTCCCAGAGCTGTGCCAGTGGGTACAGTATTTAGAGCTGATATAAATTAGTCTCTTAACACTTTCTCACTTTGTTTTCCATAGATACCTTGGGAACCTGTGTGGTTTTTGAAGAAAACACGGAGCATGGTAATTGTTGTGATTCGATGTCCTGTTTGTTGTGGTAGCTGGGGAGGTTAAAAATACTTGGCTTGTTTCAGCTGATAGTGGAATTCACTATAATGATTGGGGTTGGGGTACTGTTTTTTCTCCTCTCTTCATAGTAGATGCCGAAGGCAACCAAAAAGTACAGCTGAAATACAAGTGCCACACAGTGAAGAAGTTGAACATGACACGGACACTTCTGACAGAAAAGAAGGAAGGAGAAGAGAATGTTGGTGAGTGCCTTGCTCTTGTGCATACAGACATGGATGGATTATGCTTGGGATTGTCAGCCTTTATCAAGTGTTTGATTCAAGAGCATGCAGGAAATGTGTGTATTTAAATACACAAATACCAAACAAGCCACACACAGGAAAAGGAGATATTCCTGCCCAGTGCTGCCTTCAGAAATGGCTAGTGGGAGATTTCTATAAAAGAGTGTAAGAGCAGGACAAACTGCTGATGTTCCCTGGTATGTTTATGTAATCTCAAAGTTTGGCACTTTTAGAAACCAGAGGTGCTCTTCAGTAGTTTTTTGTTGATTTTTTTCCTACTTCCATCAGTTTTATAAATGACTTTCTGAGTCTCTGTAACTGTTGAAAATCTAGAATATGCTTAGTGAGAAGTTCCATGTTGTATGTACTAGAACCGAATTCTACTTACTGAATTTACAGTTAACTGCAAACAAATTTAACTTACTTGACATACCCAAAAGACTATTCATAGTGATTTTCATTCTGTAGGCAGAATTCAGTGCTCATATGTTTGCTTTATTTTGGTGGTGCGTTTACATAGCCAGGTATTGAGTATCCTACTATATATGGCAGTATTCACTCTCAGTATGCTATTGATTTTAGTTCCTTTTTTTTCACTCCAGTCAGTGTTACTGCTTCACATTTTAAGAGTATGTAGCCATTTTACATTAAATATGAGCTGGACATTGCTCATAGGAGGTTTAAAATGAAATGTCATCTAGAATTTAACCAAACATCAGCCTTCTCATGAACACCATGTACTATTTCTTCTCTCCATACAATAGGTAATATTAAACAGAAACTTTTTAAAGTGCGATAGACTCAAAAATATTTTGCTGAATACAAAGGCCTTTTTTGTTCTGGAGCAGCAATAGTAATGATGCCTGCTGAAAAAAACTCTTTGTTTCTGTGCGGTGACAGAACTTTATCTTGTTAATACAAATTAACTACAGCACCTTGTGACTTGGCAAAATGTATTGCCTAAAAATGGAAGTGGGAGGGGAATCTCAGTTCCTGTTCCAGTTCATCACCCTTACAGGAAAGAATTTCTTCCTGTTACCTAATTTGAACCTACTCCCCTTCAGTTTGACTCCATTCCCCCTTGTCCTGTCACTCCAGACCCTTGTAAATAGTCTCTTTCCATCTTTCCTGTAGGCTCCCTTCAGGTACTGGAAGGCTGCAATTAGGTCACACTTAAGCCTTCTCTTCTCCAGGCTGAACAATCCCAAGGATCTCAGCCTTTCCTCACAGGAGAGGTGCTCCATCCCTCTAATCAGCCCTGTGGTGCTCCTGTGCATTCACTCCAGCAGATCAATGTCCTTCCTGTGCTGGTATAAAAGGGTATATGAAAAGTACGAGGAGAAGGACATATACATGAGTAATCCTCTTTGTTGTTTTGCTGTCCTGATATTCAGTAGTTCATTAGTATCCTGACAAGAGTTTTCATGTGGATTATTACATCTTTACTCCATAAAGGCTCTGTCATCTTCACTTGCTCTTTGAACCTGTCTATACTTTTCACTTCTACTACATTTTTGTGGCAGTTTTCAAATCACATTTCTGATGTTTGGAAAAGTACAACTTTATGTCATATGCTCTTGATTGTTTGCCTTTGTGGTTGTTACAGATGAATAATCTGGTGCTTTTAATGAGTGCAAGTTACTTATTTTGTTACCAGAATTAGGAGATAAGTCAGTCCCAACTTGTTTTTACAGTACAGCCTTATAAACATCTGCCCCCTCTGAGCTGTTTCCTCCTAGTAGAATTCTAGTCTCTGTCTTGTCTTGCAATTTTTTGTGAGTTTTGTTGCTGTTTGTTGTTTGGTTTTTTAAAAGCTTTTTTTCCCCCACAAAACTAAATTTAGTCTCACGAATTCTTCTTTCTGTTTTCTAGTTTTACAGTGTGGATTGAGCAGGACACAATGCTCATGATACATGGCATAGTTTTGTATCCTGATATTCCTGCTTGTCATTGCTTTCGTAATTTCATCTCCCTTGTGACTGCACTGTAGAGATTGAGGTGGTGACATCAGTGAGTTGTACACAATGCCTCCAGTATCTGGATAAAAACCTGGAGCTATAAGTCTTGGAGAAGTTGGTTTAGCCTGTGCATGTATTGTTAATTTATCAGCAGTTAAGTTGATCTTCACTTTAAGCTGCTTTTTCTTTATCAAATGCCTTTCTGTTATTTGTAGCCTTGTTTTTCAAGGAAAGTGAATGGCTTAAGCCCCATGGAAAGACTTGCCACAAAAATGAGTGCTGATCCAAATTCTTTAAAGACCTCTTTCTATCCCAAGCAGTTCTCTTACATGTTGGTCAGGCTCAGCCTTAATAACAGTGAACTTAAACTAAGAAAAAACTGCTGTTAACTCTTAACTCCTTTTGTCACCAATACAAACTTTCCTTCTTTGCATCAGGTGGAGTGGAGTGGTTACAGATCAAGGACAGAGACTTTTCCTACAGCAGACCTAACACCATTTGCAGTTTTCTGCGTGAAAAAGATGATTCTGAGGAGTCAGCTCAGGCCCAAGACAAACTGGCTGAAGAGTCAGAGGGAGAGGTGAGAGGCGAAGGAAATTCCAACATGAACTGTGATCTGGAGAAGCAGCACAGCTTGGAAATACATGCCCCTGTTCCTCTGCCTGACAGCCCTGCTTCTGGGACAGAGGAATCTCCTTCTGGAAATGTTGCCTCGGAGGATGTCCCTCCATGATATCAGCTCTGATGTTTTCATGATGAGACCAACTTTTAAATGTCAATGTTTATAGGCCATGACATGATTTCCACTTTATCTGTGCGAATAATAGTGGAAAAACAGACACTCTGTTCTTGTGCATTGCTTTTGTGTTTGGATTATAGTGGGAAGGGCTGAAGTGTTTTTCAAAAGTACTGATGGGAAATTTATGTGTTTCTACCTCAAAGCTGAACGAGTGGAAGTGGTTACATAATTAAAAGAAAGCCCTACCTTAGAAAAATCTGATGTATTGTACAGCCTGGAACATTTTGTAAAAAGGAAAAAAACCCCATTGTTTAAAATAAAGTCTTGCATTTTTCAATTATAGCTTCACCTTGTGTGTCATACTCGGTCACATACTATATCTGTTCTTGTACTGCAGTTACTGAAAGAAAAAATCAAATAATTGTGCCTTTCATTGACTCTGAATACTCATCCAGTTGTTTAGTTTGGATTTTCTCTAGTGTCCTTTGTCTTCCTGATGGATTTTAGAAATCCTTCATGTGGAAAGGGCCTTCAGGAGGTGTATCTCCTAGCTTCCTAAGTAAAATAGGGTCAAAAATAAATTCAGGTCAAGTTGCTCAAGGCTTTGTCCACTCAGGTATTGAAAATTTGTCAGCAACTGAGATCCAGGTCTTAAAAGAGGCATCTGTGACTCTCCTTCCCCCGTTTTCTGTATAATATACTGTGTGTTATACAAAAGGAAGTATGGTACCTCCCTTTTTTCCCCCTCCCAGTAACTTCTTGGCTCTGATCTTCTCCTCTGGCATTTTTCTCAAGGATTTTTATGCATAAGGTCCTGTACCCACGTACCAGTGGCTGCCACTGGTCCCTGTGACTGTATTGCCATGCCTAGCTCTTCCGTGGGTTGGTACTGTGTACTGCTACATCATCTGTGTTGTCACCCAGTGTTTTATATCACAGCTGAGTGTGTGGTGCACTCGGGAGAATGTTTTTAAAAGCACTGCATTTCTTTAAGCGTTAACCAGTTTCTTCCTGACCTTTCTTTCTGCCCACCTTTCTCTGCCTCCCTCAAAAGAGTGTAACTCCAACAGTGCCATGAGGATGGGAACAGCTAATTAATTCCAGCATAATTATGTAATACTTTAATTAGTAATGATCAGAGGAGTTCACTCCCAGCGTTGTTCACAGCATGGGATCAGTGAAGAGAAGTCATCAAAACTGCAACAGTTTCAAACCATCAATTTCTCTATTCCAGTTTTCCTACATAGGAGCAACTTGAATCATAGGGCAAAGGGAGGCAGGGAGAGGAAGGTGAAGAGGGAACATGTTCTGTGTGTGCCTCCAGCCTGGGTGTGGATCTTTCACATGCAGTGTCTAAGCTTGAGGTTTCAGGAGGACTACTCAGCTGTCCCTCTGGATTTAACTGCGGCTGTGGAAGTTTACAAGCATCATAATTCACACTTGATTTGTGTGGTGCTAATAGAAGACAATTATAACTGGGATAATGATCTTGGGAATATTATGGGGAGTGTTTGTGATGCTGAGCTGCTCTTGCTGACAGCTGAACCTCCTGCTGAGGAGGATGGGGGGGAGGTGGGTCAAGTGTGCTTGCTATCACCACTTCAGCCCCTGAGAACAGGGAGGTGCTTCCAAGAGTTTATTCTCCATTGGAATCCAAACGTAGCAATTCATCCTTGTTTTGTTAACCAATCTTTTACTATGTATGTGTGAATACTTTTTCTTACATACAGTGAGTATTCTAACAGAATTGGTTTCTGGTCTTCTTTGGCTTTTTTTTCTCGGTGGTATAGCGAAGCTGTTTCTTGGCTCTAGTTCATCTGGGAATCAGTGTTTTTTAAAAACATTTTATGTATAGCATAAACGATGAACACCTTCCATATTTTTATATATTTTAAATGTTATTTATAATGCTCAAGCTTTTGTTTCTATTATTATTAACCCTAACTTTTGCAGCCATACTCACTCTATACCCAACTTCTCTCCTATCCTCCCAGAGAGCTGGTGCTATGAGTCCACTGCTGCTGACAACAAGTTCTTCAGCTTTATTGATTTCACTCCCAAAAAAAAGCCCAACAAGTGGCTTATTTCAAGTGCAGTTCAAACTTGCTGGGTGTGAGAGACAGAATCACAAAATATTCAGAGTTGGAAAGGGCCCACATGTTAAGCAAAGTTCCCTGTCCGACCATCCAGGCTCCACTCTGGCAGTCACACACCTGATCTGGCACCGAAGCCCCTTTGCAGCAACACTCACACAGTCAGACAGGTTTCCTTACCAGCTCGACCCTAGGTTTTCCTAGCACAGTCCCAGACCTCCAGATCCTTAAAATAATTTAATCATGGTGCAACAGCTAAATAAAATAACAGCTCGAGCTGGTGCCTTTGAGAAGGGACCCCGAACAAAGGAAGCCCCTGGGCTGCTATATGCCCTTACAGTCTAAGGGCGGGGAAGTCTGGGGGTCGTTGGCTCCTGCTGTGTGTCCGAGTCACCTGGCTGGGCCACAAGTCTCCCTGCCCTTTGTTATGCTCAGGGTTAGCAGTTCACGGTCCCTTGCCTGGGGCTCCCACCCAGAGTTCGATCTGCAGCTCCTATCGCAGCTGTATACTGGGCTACCAGCACCTAATGTATTCCTTCACACACATCATCCCAGTCCAGCTCCTGGCCCAGCACAGGACACCCCAAAGAATCACACCATGAGCCTGACAGCGTCATCCAAACGCTCCTTGACCTCTGTCAGTCTTGGTGACCACTTCCCTGGGGAACCTGTTCCGTGCCCAACCACTGGGTGAAACACCTTTTCCAATAGATCGACTTTAAATCTCCCCTGACACAGCACCACGAAGCTCTCTCGGGTCCTGTCACTGCTCACCAGGCAGAAGAGATCAGTGTGCTGCCCGGGGAGGTGGTGGATTCACCATCCCTGCAGGTTCTCAAGACGAGACTGGATGTGGCACTTAGTGCCATGGTCTAGTGAGGGCGGTGGGGTTGGACTCGGTGATCTTTGAGGTCTCTTCCAACCAGGTTGACTCTATGATTCTATGCCACTCCGCTTCCCCTCGCTGGATGTTGCTGGGAGGTCTCCCCCGAGCCTCCCATCCATTCCCCGGGCTGCGGCGCTGCCCTCCCTCCCTCCTTCCCTGCCTCCCTCCCTCCCTCCTTCCCTCCCT